TTGTCATTTCTCACCAAATAAAATTGAAAAGTTTAATTTTTTTCCCGAACACGGGCTAATTAAACTAAATTGATTACACCTTTAGATTCTTAGATTCTCTAAGCATATTCTAAAATTGTCCAAACCTAATGTATATCGTAATTGAAGTCTATAAACAGATGATAATTATACTACATAAAAGTATGATACAAACCAAGTGAGAGCTCTTTGACTTCTTTAATATTGCTACAACGAAGGGTTTGAATGGGCTATTGTGGGCCGGATATAGTCAAGTGGATCAGAAACTCTACCAAGGCCCAACTTCATAGTATGTTGGGCCCATGGGCCATGACTAATTAATAAGAGATGGGAACAGTTGAATTGGACCAAGTCGGGCAATCAAATCTTACTTTAATTTATTTATGATTCACCCGAAAAAGTATAATCTTAATTAATTGAAAAGGAAACACACACACAAACACACTTCATTTGTTGTTAGCAATCTCTTTCTTTCAATTATCCCTAAGGAGTAGGACTCATTATGAGTGCATCCTACTGAGACAGGGAGAGTGACCTAGTTGGAGAATAATTGTGATGTTTTTGTGGGAGATTATCTGTAATTTGGATGACTCTTTAATGTAAGACCAAGTTAAAGCACAAAAGACCTAGATGCCTTGGGCTTTGTTTGGCTATAATTAAAAACATAGCTTTTTGGCTAAATAAACAAAACAAAAACAAAAAGTTTGTTTATTTTCGGTTAAATAAAGCCAAAGCCCACTTAATTTTCTTACTCACAAAAATAAAATAAAATATAATAATTAACATTTACCATACACATCAAATTTTTTTATTCTAGAAAATAAAAAGAAAAAAAATAAAAACCTACTAAAGCATCAATGCCAAACTAGCCTTAAAAATTTTATAAAATACTAGGGACCCCAAATATTTTACCAACATTTTTACCAAATGTCCCATGTGGGTGCTACACACATTTGGTAAAAATATTGATAAAACATTTAGGGTCCTTAACATTACTCTTCAAAAAAATAATGTATAGATCAAATTTAATTTAAATGTGGATCCCACTATATAAGAATTGAATGTGAATCTGTTATTTATTAAATTAAAATAACAATATACAGTAGTATAATTTGCATATAAAGCAAACACAAAGAAGTCACTCCAAAATAAGTCTCTTTTTGAATCATGTATATCATAAATTCATGAGGCTCTATCTGAATAATTCAATTGAAATTTGTCAATGGAACATGCAATCAAGAAGTTTTGAAGGATATCAACGTCAGGCATCGGTATGATTTTCATATATGTTTCAATTACTTTTTTTTTTTTTTTTTTTCTACACTATGTTTTTGATTTGGTCCTTGTATTTAGAGTCATGGGTGAAGCATGTTTATTTATTTATCTATTTGCAAGTGAGTGATTTTGAATTCTTCACATCAAGGTCATGAGGGAGGCTGATGATGCAATAATAAACAAGTTGAATAGAAACCAAAACTCACTCAGAAATCTTGAAATCACTCTTTATCAACAAAATATTTTAGTTGTTAAAATTGTTGTTAATTCTAGCGACAAAATGAATTATAAAAGGTGCATTTATTAGAATCGTCAAAAGTCAATTTTTAAACTTTTCGATACAGTCTTTTCGTGATGAGTCATATAACATTAAATTAATTTTCTAATATTTTTGTTCTATGGACGAAAAGCTAAAAAGCAAAAAAATGGAGTTTTTATTTGCAAGATTTTAGAAGGGGAAGAAAGTTATAGTAACAATATTGAGATTCGAACTCAAACATCATACTTATTAACATAATTATTGTTTCATCCATTATACCAAAGTCTTTTATTCGATTTTGTAAATTTAGAAGCCCAAATGCAATACGGACTCAAGATTTTTGAATGACTCGGACTAAATATCAAAATGAAGTCTTATTTAACTAATTTTTTCAAAAGTTAGAACTTTCGGCCAGAAAAATTTTATTAAAATTTTTTGTAAGTATTAGATGGCAACCTAAGTAGCCTAATAATTGACTTAGCTCAGTTGTGACAAGTTGAAAGCGGTTAAAACTCAAATTAGTGGCACCATTTGACTTCTGTGAATAAAACAATAGATTTAACATTTAACTTCAAATCATATAACTAGATTGGAGTGTCCCAACCACAATGTTTGGATTGATTACACAAAAAAATTCCCACTGACAAACCTTTTACCACTAATCTTCGTTACTGTGGGTGGTTTGTCTGAGAAAGAAAGAGAAAGCAAATCCCTTTCCTCACCTAGCCGCAAATTATCTGTTTTGAGAAGTAATGGTTTAATTCTATGCAAGTATAATGAATTCCACTCAAACCTTGATCATTAAGGGCTGACATGGCGTCCCATATTGAAAGGATATTCTTCAACACACTTAAATTCTCTTGTCATCTACTACAAAGATTAATTATATATTATAACATACTAACATTTGATAAGAAATTAACAATTCTTAATTACGGTTAGTGATGCATAAAATAAAAAATAAAAAATAAAAAATAAAAAAGTTAAAATGAATCGAATCAATCACATATACGTACGAACACACTCTGAACCCTCCATTAGACACAAGACTTGGTGTACAATACTTATAATACCCAATAACATTTTTTATTTTTATTTTCTCTGTACATACATAATATTGTTTATAACACTGTTTGCTTTTTATGAAGATGTACCTCAGCCTGCTAATTTGGCAATATATATCTATAATACTGTTGAATTTTTTTAATAAAAATAAAATATTATTTTATTAATGTGACTGTTACATCATACATGAGTTACAAATTTCATCATACTAATATCTGGTCAAACAAATCACACTATATGATATATTACTATTTATTTTTTTAATGTATGTTTTTTACTTCCATCCATTACCATTGCACAAAATACAAGAGAGTTCTACAAGTTTCTTCATATCATGCATGCTTGAATGTAGTGGGTAAAGAAGAACAATTACATGTATGTCTCTCAGTTATCCACAATTGGATTATATATATTTCTCCAATTTTCTTTAAGATTTACATGCCTACTGTTCTATTATTTTAATCTTAGTATATGAACCTCTTTATTTCGTTTGCTTACTTATTAATTTTTAGGAATTGTCCAATATTTCATCTTAGTGTTTATTATCATTGTTTGATTCTGTAAATTCATACTCTCTCTATCTGAGATTATTTGTTTGGCATGGAAGTCGTACCGAAATTTTTTAATTTTTTTTTCATTAATTAAAAGATCTCTCTAAATACTTTTAATTTGTGAAATTTTGGACATGAAAATGTGTTCACTTTGCTTGGTTTTAGTTTTTTGAAAACACTTTTCAGAAAATTTTACTTTTTTATTTTTACATATTTGTTTTGTTTTTACTGAACTTTTTAATATTTTAAGCAATTTTTTAAAAATTTTTTAGACACACCTAATATAAATACACTTAAAAAGTGTAATTTTTGTGAAAAAAATCTTTAAAAAATTCACTAAATATCCAAAATACAAAAAATACGAAAACTCAGTACATTTTTCATATTTTCGTATATTTATTAATTTTTTAAAATATTATTTGACAAATATTTTACTTTTTAGATACATCTAAGTAAGTTGCATCTAAAAAAGTTAAAAAAAATGCTTAAAATTTAAAAAATATTCACCAAAAATAAAAAAATACGAAAAACAAAAAAACTCAATTTTTAAAAAACTTAATTCCGAAAATTAAAACCAAATAAAAAAAAACTCAATTTTTAAAAAACTTAATTCCAAAAATTAAAACCAAATAAACTGATTATTTTTAAATTTTCATTTTTCATACAGAATAAATAATTTTGACCAAAAGTAATATATATATATATATATATTGTACCTAATTTGGGCGGTGGTAGGCGGCCGGGCCACTAGTGAGTAACTGGTGGCTGACTTTGTTATCATTAACAAGATTCCAAAATCTATTTATTACCTCCATGACCACATATACATAGCTGAATTATGTCAGTAATTCTTATATTTTAATTTTTGTATTATTTTAATTTTTATAATTTTAATTTACTTGATTTTTTATCTTGAATTTATAATTTTATCTCAATTTAGTTGAATTGATTACAAAGGTTAGTATTTTTTATTTAGAAAATACATACGCAAGTGATATGTGTCATGACTTTAAAGATAAAATTATAATTTTACACAACTCAGTGAGTTAATAATCTCAACTAATTAAGTGATCATTTTCCATTAAAAACATAAACTGTGTTATTAATTAAATCAAACTGACACAAAAATTAACTCACTAATTTAGTGATTATTTTTTGTCAAAAATACTAACGGCATTATCAATCGAATCAAATTGGTACAAAAATTATAATTAAGAGTTAAAATTAAGTCAATTAAAAATATATGAAATAAAATGACATAAGAGAAAATATAGGAACTACTAATATAATTTACCCTATAAACAAAGTTCCCATTAGATTTAAAATTTACATAGTGTGAATTATGAATGATGAAATTATAATTTATGTTGTATTGTGTAAATATGGAGAGTGCATATGGTGGTTGATTCCAAGTACATGAAGTTACAAGCTTATACAAGATTAAGATCAATGGTGCCAACATAATAATATGTTAATCAACCATGCTAAAAATATAGAGACCAAATACATAATAAGACATATATGTATCAAGAAGATTGAAGCTCACATGATGTGAGACCATTTTTTACAAAATATTTGTATCTTATTATGTATTTAATTTTTTATATGCGTAGAGTTATTATATGCTAATTGTCTTCTACAAATTAATTTGTGATGAAGCAGTGTGTGCTTTAAAGTGGGGTCACAGTCAGGCGTGGGAAAAAATTGCCGAAAGATCAAAGAAAGTGTGGATCTGTGAAAGTGGGGCTGTAGTGGGAGAGAGAAGAGATTCATATATATTTTCAAATTCAAGCACTTGGGAAGTTGGAAGAGCTTTTAATTCCCTATAAATACAGTCACTCACTCACTTGGAGATCACACAAACACCCAAAAGAAAGTTTCAAAGCCAAGCAACAAACAAACAACAGACAATGTTTGTCAACAAGAAACTTCCTTCTATCTTCTTCATCTTTCTGTTATTGCCGTTACTCTTGCAGTTTTCTTCCGGTATTTCCCCATCTTCTTACTTCTTTTGTCTTCATTTCTGCACAAAAGTACTGGATACAGAATATATAGATGTAAAATAAAACCTTCTCTTCTTAATTATGAATATGAACATTTTAAATTATATTTGTATCGTATTCTATAAAATTATTTACATGCACGTAGCACAACTTATATTTAAAAGAGGACAAATATAAGTAATGCTATATAATTATGATTTTTGTATAAAAAAATTATACAAAATGAGATGGTTGTTTTAGGTTATTTCATCTCAAATCAAATTACTCACCACCATGGTTTATAATTTTAAAAATTTAACTATCACGACAATTTGTGTATTTTTGTTTAAAATTAGGTGAATCGTACCTTATGAATCTCACAACATGGGTGAGCTTATAAATTTAATTTACACGTTTATTTTGAAAATAATTTTCTTGAGTACTTTTTTGTTTTTTTGAATAATTAAGTAAATTCAATAATTACAAAACCATTTGTGTATCATAAGTTGGTGCCAATAACCATATGTTTTTACCACTAGGGTTGGTGGCTTGGTGGAGAATGCAACGCATTCCTCCGCACTGAACCCGGGTCAATTCCTGGGGAGGGGGGGGGCAATGAGATCTCTGCTGAGAGCTTGTTCTGTACTCCACTCAACGCCTATCTTTAAGTTTTGGCGTGTAGTTGAGCTTCATTGGTGCCTTGGTGGTGGATCCCTTTCTATCGGTTGGGTTAAATTTGGTTGGCAACTGGCTACCCCGAAGCCAGGGCCCGCAGAGGCTGTAATGACACCACAGAACTTCCTTTCTTTCTTGTTCAAAAAAAATAAAATAAAAAATACCCATATGTTTTTCCTCTGATGGTGCAACAATGTTAGTACATAGAATTCATCCACAAAAATATATCACCAAATTATTGTGTGATTTATATTTATTTTACATGTGTGTTTTTACAATACATTAATTGAATTTAGACTAAATATTTTTTTTATAAAAATTTTATTCCTACATTTCTTTTTGTTGATGGTGACTTGGTAATAGGCATACTAATAATTATCAAATTTTTATAATACATTTCTTTTTGTTTTTACAATACATTTATTTTTCTGCATATTTTTCTCTGATAATTATCAAATTAGGCATACTAATTTTTCTTTTTCTTTTCCTTCAAGTTAAAGCCGATCTCCAGTTTAATTTCTACAATGAGAGTTGCCCAAGAGCTGAAGAGATCATTAAAGAAGAAGTCACCAAGCTATACAAGCAGCATGGAAACACAGCTATTTCATGGATCAGAAATCTCTTCCATGATTGCATGGTTAAGGTAATTAACTAATTAAATTGCCAATCAATCAAACAAACACATCCTTAATTTATATTACCTATTATAATATCATACACTAATCAGATGTACTTTGTTGATGACATAGTCGTGTGATGCATCACTATTATTGGAGTCCAAATATGGCATACTATCAGAGAAGGCATCAGACAGGAGTTTCGGGATGAGAAATTTCAAGTACATGGAGACAATAAAAAATGCCCTTGAAAGCCAATGCTCCATGACTGTTTCTTGTGCTGATATTGTTGCTCTTTCTGCTAGAGATGGCGTTGCCTTGGTATGTCCATTTTTCAAAACACTAATGCTACGGAGTTAGAAAATTTTCTTACAATGTGACAGTTATGTATTCATTTTGGGGGAACATGTGAGCCCATCCAAAATAAATACAAGGTTGTCAACGCATCATTCTGTATAACATTTTTGTATAAAAATTATCCAAATCTTATCCATTCATATATATTTTGTGCTTAGTTCTGTAATTAGGTTTTATATTTTTAGAGTTGTTCAATAATTTCCCTCATGTTTCATTTTTATAGTTAGGAGGGTCACACATTGAAATGAAAACAGGGAGAAAGGATAGCAGAGAAAGTTATGCCCCAGTGGTAGATGAATTCATCCCCAACCACAATGACACCATGGCATTGGTTCTTTCAAGGTTTCAATCCATTGGCATTGATGCTGAAGGCACAGTAGCTCTTTTAGGTAAACATTTTTGCCCAATTTCACTCAATTTATTAATACCTTAACTCACCTAGACATTGTCACACAATTATGGGTGATCATAATTTATGAAAGCAATGTTAATTAAGAAAATATATTAAGATAAAATAAACAGTATACAGATTAAAAAACGACAAGCCCCTAAAAGGCCAACCAAACAAAAAATAAGTCCACCAAAAAATCAGTATGATGTATTGATTTTTGAGTATGATGTACACTATACAAATTGAAATTTGCACTATATATTTTATTTTTTAAATACTTTTCTAAGTACTTTTTTTTAGGTACATAACATGAGGACATTTTGAAAAAGACCAAATAATTTATGCTAAAATTTTATCCATAATATATATGACAGCATTGGATCGTATCATCATTTTAAAACTAAAGACTCAAATTATCCCCATGCAAATGTCTCATATTTTGATTTTGTTCAATAATTTTTCTTCTATCGACACTCAATTGCTTAAATATTAACTTAGCACACATGAGCTATGTGAATACTTTCTTGTGTGAAAAAAGCATCGTTATACAAATAGAAAATTTATACAAAATAATGTGACATGTTTTGACTTTAAGACATCAAAATAACTTATATTTTAAACAATTTCACTATCGCATCATTGTTACTATATTTATTCTTTTTATTTTGTCTTCTATTTTGTCACATCTTGATCACACTATTCCAATGTGAGATATGTATTTATGGATCATTTTCATAGGAGAAACATATTAGCACATGCTCAGGTCACACGTGACAGAAACCAAAGACATGACAAGAGTTGAATTGAGGCTATTGTGGGCCTAATTAGACAAGTTGTTCACAGAAAATTTTCACTGAAGAAACCATGCTAAAAGTGCCAATTTTCACAACTATGCAGGAGCACACTCGGTAGGCAGGGTTCATTGTGTGAACCTTGTAGACAGGCTCTACCCAACTGTTGATCCCACCTTGGACCCTGACCATGCCGAGTACCTCAAACGCCGATGCCCGTCGCCGGAGCCCGACCCCAAGGCCGTACAATATGCTAGAAATGATCTCGAAACGCCAATGGTGCTAGACAATGTGTATTACAAGCACTTGTTGGAACACAAGGGACTATTACTGGTTGATCAACAATTGGTTTCGGATCCTACTACGTTGCCTTTTGTCACGAAAATGGCTGCTGATAACGGCTACTTTCATGACCAATTTTCACGGGCTTTTCTATTGCTGTCAGAGAACAATCCGCTTACTGGAGATGAGGGAGAGATAAGAAAGGATTGTCGCTATGTGAACAAGGATTGAAATTGCTCATTTAATTCTCAAGAACTAGGGGACTGCTTGTGAGCAATGAAAATTTCACTCTACTATTTAAGAAGACTGGCTTCTTCTCTTTTTTTTCCTTCTTTTTTTCTTTTTCTGTGTCCAAAGACTATAGCATTGCTTGCAAATTGCTATATTTATGTTATTATAAAAGAATACTTGAATTAAAAGATAATTGTTCCCTTGCAGGAAACAATTATTGGATACTTGAAAAGGTATTTTCACAATGATATTTCACTTTAATTGATTTAAAATGTGAAATTCATGGTATTATGTTAATATTTTCGAGTCAATATGAAGATGATCATTTACCCATTAAGCTTTCCTTTGCAACGACCCAATTATCCTATGAATTTTTTTAAAAAAAATAATCGCAAAATTACCTTGTTATCATGAATGCTTGATCCAAAGTATTGGGTCGGTGGTCTTTTGATCCCCAAAAATTTACTGTATAATTAGTTATTTATTAAGATTTTTGTTGTAAACAAAAACAAAATGAAGCAAAATTCAAAATATATTTTTGTAATTCATAACATTTCTCATATAAAAATGATAAGATTAAATCAACAAAAATCAAGAACCATACTTACCAAAAAACACTAAGCCTCCGTTTGGGAAGTGGTTTGACTTTTTTGCTTTTTAACTTTTTTGATTATTTTAGCCTGGGCTAAAAAATTTGGTTTGGGAATGACTTTTTGATTTTTTTCGTTTTTTTTTGTGAAAGAAGAATGTAATGATTATGGGTTGGATTGTTTTTTGTGGCTAAAATACCTATTTTATCTTTTATAGCTAAAATAATCAAAAAAATCCCGTTTAACTCTTGTCAAACAGAGCCTAAATAATTTTCCAATAACTCAACTCCCCTTATTATTATTATTTCTTTCCTTTTTTTTTTTTAAGTAGTATATTTCAATATTTGTGTTCCATGTCTATCTAAACGACTGTTGGAAGAAGAAGAAAAAGTACATTGGAGAAATTTTACCGTTGGCTCACACGTGTCGGCCATGTAGCCACCTGTCTGCTTCAATCTCCTTTGGATTCTCTCTCCTCCATATTCCTTTTTTTTTTTTTTTTTCCTTAAGTTTTATTGTTCATGTGCTTTTAAAGAGAGAGCTTTACAACCCCCCATCTCTCTCTCTCTCTCCGATATCAGTCACTCTTTCTCTCTTTACAATCCCGTGACTGATCAGCCTTCAATCCAGCAAAACAAGAGAATTTCAGACAACCCATCCATGACAGCTCTAATGGGTTCTCACCAAATCTAGCAATGACGTCACTTTCCGGCGATTTCTTCGGCATTATCTTCCTCATATTGCTCTGTTTCACCGGCAGTGTCGCCGGAGCTACACAATTCGACTTCGAAACCTTAACTCTGACGAGCTTGAAGCTCCTCGGAGACGCCCACTTGAACAATGGAAGCGTGAGGCTCACTCGCGACCTCGCCGTCCCCAACTCCGGCGCCGGCAGAGCCCTCTACTCCAAACCCATCAGATTCCGGCAGCCGGAGACTCATTTTCCGGCTAGTTTCTCAACATTCTTCTCCTTCTCCGTCACAAACCTCAACCCCTCCTCAATTGGGGGCGGACTCGCCTTCCTTATCTCGCCGGACGACTCCGCCGTCGGCGACGGCGGCGCGTACCTCGGCCTCATGAACCAAACTGGTGGTCCGATCGGAACCGTTGCAGTCGAATTCGATACCCTCATGGACGTACAGTTCATGGATATCAATGGAAACCATGTTGGTTTGGATCTAAACTCGATGGTTTCAACCAAGATCGCCGATCTAGAATCCATTGATGTCGATCTCAAAAGCGGCGACCTGGTCAACTCGTGGATCGATTACTCCGGGTCGACTCGGATCTTCAACATCTCTGTTTCGTACTCCAATCTCAAACCCGAAGCTCCACTCCTATCATTCACTCTCGATCTCGATCAGTACGTGAGCGATTTCATGTATGTTGGGTTTTCCGGGTCGACTCAGGGGAGTACAGAGATTCACAGCATAAATTGGTGGAGTTTTAGCTCAAATTTCGAAGTGAGTTCAAAGTCCGAGTCATCATCACCACCACCAGTATCGTCGTCGTCGTCGTCGTCTACGCCGCCTCCATCGGCGACTTTGATGAATCCAACGGCGGATTCAATCAACCCACCACCACCTTCTCAGCCACCATCACAGCCAAACAGTACTTTATCACAAACCACTGAAAAAACCAGTAAGTGCCATAACCAGTTGTGTAAAGATGGCCCAGGGGCTGTAGTTGGGGTTGTAACAGCTGGGGCTTTTTTTCTAGCTTTCTGTGCTGTTGTTCTCATCTGGGTTTACTCCAAAAAATTCAAAAACTTGAAGAATTCTGATCCCTTAACATCTGAAATTATCAAAATGCCCAAAGAATTTAGCTACAAAGAGCTCAAATCAGCAACCAAATGCTTCAATTCCGCCCGAATCATCGGTCACGGCGCTTTTGGAACAGTCTATAAGGGTATATTACCAGAGAGCGGTGGCATTGTCGCGGTGAAGCGGTGTAGTCATAATGGCCAAGGAAAGGCCGAGTTTTTATCCGAATTGTCGATAATTGGGACTCTGCGGCATAGAAATCTAGTTAGGCTTCAAGGTTGGTGCCATGAAAAGGGTGAAATTTTACTAGTTTATGACTTAATGCCTAATGGGAGCCTGGACAAGGCATTGTTTGAGTCAAGGATGCCATTGTCATGGTTTCATAGGCGTAAAATATTGATGGGTGTTGCGTCTGCATTAGCATATTTGCATCAAGAATGTGAAAATCAAGTGATTCATAGAGATGTGAAGACAAGTAACATAATGTTGGATGAAGGGTTCAATGCTAGGTTGGGTGATTTCGGGTTGGCTCGTCAAATCGAGCACGATAAGTCACCTGACGCGACTGTGGCAGCAGGTACGATGGGATATTTAGCCCCAGAGTACCTGCTTACGGGCAGAGCAACTGAGAAAACTGATGTTTATAGCTTTGGCGCGGTGGTGCTAGAGGTGGCTAGTGGGAGGAGACCCATTGAGAAGGAGGAGGCTAGTGGGGTTGGGAGAGTTGGGGTTGGGACCAATTTGGTGGAATGGGTTTGGGGTTTGCATAGAGAAGGGAGGCTGCTAGTGGCTGCTGATTCAGGGCTTGATGGTGAGTTTGATGAGAGTGAAATGAGGAGGGTGCTTTTGGTTGGGTTGGCTTGTTCTCACCCTGACCCATTGGCTAGACCCACAATGAGGGGTGTTGTCCAAATGCTTGTGGGTGAGACTGAGGTCCCTATTGTCCCTAGGGCTAAGCCTTGCATGAGTTTCACCACTTCCCAACTACTATTGAGTCTCCAGGACAGTGTGTCTGATTTGAATGGTATGGTCACCATCTCCTCCATCTCCTCCTCATCAGACGATCACAGCTTCAATGGTGGTGGTGGTGGTGTTGAACTTGTCTGATCCAAATCAGTGGTTGAGATTTCATAATCTTAACTCATATATATTTATATATATATTCATTTGTTTATTATGGTACGTATACGACATAATAACATAATAACATCGAATCACTATCTTTAAATTTCCTACTTCCACGTTTTAAAATATTTATCTTCATTGAATTATGTTGTCAGATTATTGAATCTGGAGATTGGAAGTATTTTGAAACAGAGTGAGTTAGAGTTTTGAGGGTAGAGAATTCTCAATTTTGGATTGTCTTATTATTTGTTTCTTTCTCCTTCAATTAGTTAAGAGTGGGTTAAAGGAGGAGACAAAGAAAAAGGTGGGAATCATTTTCTTGCTATGGGGTTGGATGGAGATTTTCTTTAGTTATGGATAGTTGGGTTTTTTTGCTTTTACAAGTAAAGCTTTAGTCAAAAAGCAACCATTGGGAGCTTGAGTAGAGGCTTGGAAAAGTATAGTATAGTGTAGTGACAAAAGTAGTGCATATTTATTACTTTTCAAAGTTGTTATTATTTTATTTTCTTTCCTTTTTGTTGTGGATAATGAAACAGAGAAATGAATGAAGTGTTTTGTATTTTTCAATACAGCAATGCTAGGTATCCTGAAAAACCTTTCATAAAAATAATCATGAAAGTTTCGTGACCCTTGGATTACATTTAGAATGAAACACCACACACTAATTAAGGTAATTCAAGGATTATAAATTTTTCATGATCATTTTCATGACAAAATTTTCATGATCTCTAACTTTTCCCTTTTCCATATCTTCGCTTCCAATTATTTTTCTCTACTTATTGGAACATTGAATCATAGTGCAATTTAAATGAGTTATTTCAGACAAAAATAATCTAAATAAATTAAAATTTTGATTATCTAAAAGTTAAAAAAAAAAAAATTGTGACTTTTATTATCTAATTACTAATTTTTAATTTATAATAAGTTATATTAAATAGACTCACACTCTACAAAATTATAAGATTGATTGCACCGGTGCACATGAGTTTTTATATCAATTCAAAAAAAGTAAAAATCAGAGTACGCAGATGCGTTGTGTGTGTGTGTGTGTTTTTTTCTTCTTTTTCATTTTCGTTTTGTCATATTTTTTTAAAATAAAACAACAAAAAGTTTCAAAACACCCATTATTTTGTATTTTTGGGCCAAAACAGTTTTCAGAAGTTCAAAAACATTATTTTGATGTTTCTTAACAAACTGAGTTGTTTTTATATTAAAAAATTCCATACTTATTTCCTGAAACAATTTATCGGAGGAGTTCTTTGTTTTTTTCAAAAATAAAAATAAAAACAATCTACTATATTATGAACAAAATTAAATTGATTTACTTATTATCAGATAAATTTATCTAAAGGATATATGACTATAACCATTGCATCAATATGATTTTATTTATTTTTAAATGAATTACTGAATAGAATGGATTAAATCAGTAAAATGAACTTAGACTATTGGATTTAGTGAGAATAGCTTAGGAAGCCAAAAAATTTAAAGTGCAAATTACACTAACGGTCCTTATAGTTTGGGACTTGTATCACTTTGGTCTCTCACTTTTTAATTGTGACACATTTAATCTTGAATTTTGAATCTTGTTCCAAATAAGGATAATTGGAGATATCATTACTTAATTTTAAGGGCAAAATTGTCAATTTGATAAAATATAAACTGATTTGGCAAAAATAAATCTCAAAAAAATATTTTCGAATTTTAAAAAATTATTTCTATCCACTAAAGATAAAATTATGTAAAATTGATGAATCTTTTAGAATTTTTTTTTTAAATTTTATCAAACTAATTTTTATTATGTATTTGGATGATGATCAGTAATGGGTGGTTGTTTTTATTTTCATTAAATTAGTTTTTATTTTTTCAAAAGTCAAATATGACAACAACTTTGATATCGTTATTAAATCAATCTATTAAATTAAAAAATCTAAAATTAAAAACATTTTATAAATTAAATATATCGATTACACATTAAAATCTTAACAACCACCAATTACATGATCATCATCCAAACACATAATAAAAATTAATTTGATAAAAATAAATAAATAAATGTCCAAAAAATTTATTAATTTTATATAATTTTATCTTTGGTGTGTAGAAATAATTTTTTAAAATTTAAAAATATTTCTTTGACATTATTTTTGTCAAATTAGTTTATATTTTGTCAAATTGACGATTTTGTCCTTAAAATTAAGCAATGGTATCTTCAATAGTCCTTATTTTGAACAAGATTCAAAATGTAAGATCAAATGTATCACAATTAAAAAGTTAGAGACCAAGTGATATGAGTCTCAAACTATAGAGACTATTAGTACAATTTGTCTAAATTTAAAATAGTAGGAGAAAGGGACTTGGTATGAGGAAATATTCAAAGTACAAATCAAATACCAAAGTATTATAGTGAATCTTATATGGGCTCCGTTTGAGAAGATGGATTTGGGATTTTTTTAGTTATTTTAGTCACAAAAGATAAAATAAATTATTTTAATCATAAAAAATAAAACATCATATCCAACCCATAATCATTACACTCTTCTCTCACAAAAAAAGTAAAAAAAAAATCAAAAAATCAAAAAAATTTTCCTAAACTAAACTTTTTTATCCAAGTTAAAATAATCAAAAAAATTAAAAAAATCAAAAAATCAACTCACTCTCCAAACGAAGCCATAGAAAGTAATAAGTTTGAATTTTAAGGCGACTCAATAATTATTTGATAAATTCAGACATCTTAATAAATAAATAATGCAATGAGTGCTTTTTTATTCTAGAATTTGAAGAAGCTAGGAACGATAGGTATCATTACAAAGGTTGATTTTAGTTGCCACCATGCATCTTCTCGTGGTGGACTCGAGGACGTTGTTGTGTCCATGAAGTACAGTAGTATATTGTGAGTCATTGTGTGATATATTTTAAATTTATTTTGATAATTTAAAATTTTCATATTATAAAATTTATTAAATAAATTATTTATAAAACAAAATATTAAATTGATCAAATATTTATAATCACATGATCTACTTCTAATTATTTAAAAAAAATTATCTATTATCAAAATAAAATTATAAATTTTATTTTTAATATTACAATATAAATAATTTAAATTATTAAAATATAATCGAAATAGACCGACACGACTAACAACCCCAAATCCTCCAGGGGATGATTAAAACACTATCAACACACACAGAGAAAAGGTGTGACAGCTTAACAATTACGTAAGTGGAAAATTAATTTGAACCAAACTTCATTATTAAATTAAAGTTTCGTGTCAATGTTGCCCTTTGTAATAATGTTGGCTTTGAAGGTTGCTTAACTTGCTTCAACTCTCTTTTTTTTGAAGATTATTGGACTGTAGTCCAAATTTTTCAAAATAAAAGATGATAATAAATACAAGGAAGAAATTTAAGTCTGTATTTGGTTTAGTTTTAGAATTGTGATTCTAATAAAGAAAAATCAAAATTTATAACTAACCACATAACTTAAAATTAGTCAAAACTCAATTTAAAAATTATTTTCAAAACTTATAATCAAACACACAACTTAAACCTCAATTTAAAACTCTTTTTAAAATTCAAAACAAAATTCTTTTCAAAACTCTATTTAAAAAAAAAAATCAAAAAAATATTTTTTAAAATATTTAAAATTTTTCTTAATTTTGTATTTTTAGGGTAAATATTTTATATTTTAAATATTTATTTAATGTGCACTGTATTTTATACATTTGTGTGTTGTATTTTTTTAATATTTTAAATATGTCTTTTAAATATTAAAAAAATTTAAAATTTTTATTTTTATTTTAAATATATAATTTCAATTTTAAATATTTTTATTTGATTTGATAAGTTTTGAGTTTGCATATTTACCCATTTTTTTTGGGATTCACACGATTCTGGTGCTGATGTGTGTTTATTTGGCCGGGGTAATGTATTTTCACATTGGCTGATTTATATGTATTTTATGCAGTTATTTGCGGTGGAATTGGTTGAATTGTTGATGTGGATTATTGGTTGTGGGACTTGATTTTGTTACTTTGGGAACTTTGTCATGCTGTTGTGGGTTCAAAAAAAAAAATATATATATATATATATATAACTTATTTAGCCAATAAGATAACATCCCAAACACCTGAGCATGATTCTCAATTAAAAAAATATGTAAAAAACTTTATGTCGACGATTTCTTATTACTATCCATTTGGAAAGTGGGTTGACTTTTTGATTTTTTGGCTTTTTTAACTATATGAGCTTGGGCTCAAAAGCTTAGTTTGGGAAGGACTTTTGACTTTTTGGCTTTTTCGATTTTTTTGTGAGAGAAGAGTGTAATGATTATGGGGTTGGATGAGATGTTTTGTCTGTTGTGGCTCATAAACCTATTCTGTCTTTTATGGCTCATTGAGCCAAAAAAGCCCAATGAGCCCTTGCCAAACCAACCCATAGTATTAGCTCAAAAGTTTTTGAGATTTTAAATTTCTGACTAATAAGTATCAAACAATATTTTAACTTATTAGATATCTTTGAAATTTTTTGACTTCCATCAATAACAGTTTTAAAAAAATTGTTTAGTGAATTTTAGTTGCTGTTTGAGATTTATTTTTACGTTTATTTTTATTTTATTTTTTTGTGACTTTTTAAATTTTTAGTTTTTTATACGAGTTAAGAAATTTGATATGTTTGAGAAATTATTAAAAAATATTTTTAAGGTAAAAAATTGACATAACATTTATCTTTTTAAAATTTTTAATCAAAAAATAACTTTTGGGGTTTCTTCCCAAAAAACTCATGAAAATTAAGTAATTTAATAATTGAGTCACTCTTAATATTGTAAATATATAATCATCAAATTACCCATAACACAGACAAAAATTAGGCTTATTTTGGAAAGTAAGAAAAAAAGTTAGTTTATTAATTTTTTATTACTTTTTTATAAAATGTGCAAAGACGTGACTTAAATAAGTCAATAAACTAATAAGTTAACTTTTTTTTTTTATTTCCCCTATATTCCAAACACTACAACAAGTTGGGTCTTGAATGACGAAATTTTTTTGTCTCTTTGGAGTAAAGGCTAAGTATATTGTTTACTACTTGTTGAAATTCGTAGCAATTTACAAGTATGATAGACCGAGATCACTGTTTAATACTTATTAAAACATTGAGAAGAAACTTGCAAAGTTTACATTAAGTAATATATGTTTATACTTGTTAAAATTTATGAAAAGTTTGCAGGTCAGTATCTTGCCGAAGTAAAAGTTTTATTGTTATACCTGAGGTATATAACTCCGAGAAGATTACACAAAGGAAGCAAAATGAAAAAGCATGCAAAAATTTCTAAGTATAGAGCTTTGCAGAAGCAATCAACAGAACATCAGAAGATTAAAAATATTCATAGAAGGAACAGTTGCAGATTACATAGAGAAAAGGCCACGTCGGCCATAAGAAGGAGTTTTTCATTTTCCAGAAATTAAAAGAAAGTACAAATTGCAAAGTGCAGAAAAAGAAGGAAAAAATACAAAAGGCATTTTAAATCAGGACTCTTCAGTATTAGCAGCTACAGGGA